TTGGGTGTGGTATGTGAGAGTGTGTGACTTGGTCCACAAGCCACCAGCATTGATCTCCATCCTTCCACCAGCAGTTAAGTTCTGCCCTGCCAACAATAACTTTTTGGCTTGTACCTGAAGCCTAATCAGGAATTGTTAATACTTTGTTTATGGTTGTTAGAACCATATTTGGCTGGGACAAATGTCTTAGTAAGGCATTATCATTATCCTTCTGAGGAGGCCATGAATAACCATTTTCACTTTACTACTAGTTTGTAGTTACTCAAACCTACAAGGCTGAAAGGGCTCCATGGCCCACCCATTAAAGCACTTTACTCAGACCACTGATTGTGCTGAACTAAACTGTTGCTAGTTTTTTTATTCTTACCACATCGCAGTTAGTAAATTGTTAGTGTTTTCCATGTTTCATGCCTTCCTGAATGTGACTCTTTCTGGCCACATTCAGTAATTGATTCTGTGTCCACAGACTCAAGAGCTACAGTCTGGCATATTTGTGCGGGCTTACTGGGAACCGCTACAACGTAAATTGCTTAATAAGCTGCTAGAGGTTAGACAAGGTTGCAAAAATTGCAGAATTAATTTTGATATTAAGGAGATATTTGGTGGTCACTTATTTAATTTCATGTCATTGTGATAGATCTTGAATGACTGTAGGTCAAGTTAGATGACCAAGTAATATTTTGGTAACTTTAAAATGCATGGGTATGTTTTAGGACTTTAATCAATGTAAGTTTTTTTAGAGGTTTGCACTACGGTATTCATATGTTGGATGACTAAATTTGTTTAAGAAGGCTTAATAGATGCATTTTTGGTAGCTTCTATCCAGTATTATTGCAGTCTGAAATTCAAACATGGAATCATTTTGATGCATTCTTAAGTTTTCTTTAAAACCCATTTTATACTAAATTTTTTAAACCCATTTTTTACATTAAAAATCCCTGCCTTGCTGGTAGGTAGGCAGCTACCCCAGGAGGTCAGGTACCCATTGCAACCCTGACTCAAACCTGGGGGTTCTGATTGAATCCTGAAAAACCATAGGATTAATTTATACTCATGAAAATGTTAGCTACCCTCATGTGAGTATTGATTGACATAAATATTAAATTTGTCTGGAGATACATGTAACTGGGCCTTTTGTTTGACTCCCCAATTTTGGGATTGAAAAATCACATGAACCTCCTCAGAGATATTTTCATCAGGAGGACCAACGTGATGCAGGCAATGTCAGCATTCAGCACATCACTGGGAAGTAGATAGAGAAGTATTGCTTAAATTTTACAAAGCAGTAATAAGAATTAAGCTGGAATATGGCTCCATGTTTTATGGGACAGCAGCAAGCAGCTATTTAGAAAAGCCTAATACAAATTAGAATGGATGCCTCAAATTAGCCATTGGTACAAGGAAAATATCTATAGTTTCACTGGAGGTTGAGAGTGGCGTTCCTCCACTGAGGTTTCTTTATTAGTTAAATGCAAGCAGGGACTGCCTTATGTGAAGAACGCTACTCTTTCCCCACTTTACCAAGCCTTCCCTATTCTCCATCATAATCCCGCCTGCAGAAGATGGTGTTTTGTTGAGTTGATTTGCACAGTAAAACATTTTTGCTTTGGGTGTTGAGCCATGGGAAGCTCCAGGCTGCTTCCACACCCCCCACTTAGCATTATAATCTCGTGTGTGACGCAATTTAGGGCATGGTTACGATGACTAACCTGGGAAAAAATACTGATTTGTAATAAATGAATACTTGCCCACAACCTGAATGTAGTAGTAGCTTCCAATTTTGTGTTGCATAATTCAGTTTGTTACAATATGCACATGCAATTAATACTGTTATGCATATACCATCAAACAGGGTAAGAGTGTTGGGCGGGGTAAATAGGGACATTCGTCCCACCTTTCATAGAAATCTTGTAATCAAAATATTGCCAAACTAAAAATAGTGACATAAAGTTGAACATTTTTACTATCTATGTAGCATAATGCAAGTTAGGAAATCACACATTTACTACATTTAAAAAATCCCTGAGAAAAGTAAGATTTGGATAATTTCTCTGCTAAGGCCTGTAGCAAAAAAAAAATATTTATTGAATTAAAAAATTTTAATTACATTAAAGTTGCGCACATGTGTTGGCTTGGAAACAGGATTGACAGAATTTGCCTATCTCATTCCAAAAAAACTATAACTCAGTACTCACTGCAGTGAGTGACAGAGAGCGCATTTTCTCGTCTACGAAAACTTGAGGTCAGGGACAGACGGACAGAGAGACAGACAGACAGACAGAGGACATGGCGAGCACAATAGTGCATTTTTTTCAGAAATGAGAAAATGTGCTAAAAATGGCAGCCATTTCCACAGGATGGGGTAATAAGGGACACCCCCCCCCGGGGTAATAAGTTTACTCCCCTAAATATGCTTTTACAGTAGAACCTCACTTAGCAAAGGCTCCAGTTAACCAAAAAATCAAGAAACAACAAAAATTTTGATTACATTTACCTGGATCAGCAAAAAATTTCACTTAAGAAAAAATTAATGCATCATCGGTCATCACAAAATTGTGCATTAGAATGTCATAGATAGAATTGTGCTTATGGCAACATAGAATGAATCTAATTAACCTAAACTATGATTTATTTCACCAAAAAATATGATGGTTGTCACTAAAATATTCCTTTCTATTTCTATTTTATTATATTATTGTACTTTTACTTCATTTTTATTTTATGTTTTTCCTCATTTATTTATTCATTAATTTTTTATATGTATGTGTTTTTCTTATTTTTTATTTCTTTTTAGCTCATTTTCTCATTTATGGAAAAAATGCACTATTGTGGTCATCATGTCCGTCCATCTGTCTGGCTGTCCATCCATGACTTCACGTTTTCATTGACGAGATTATGCGCTCTGTCACTCACTGCAGTGAGTACTGAGTTATATTTTTTTCATGTGTGTGTTTGTGTGTTTTTTTAGATTTTAGAATATTTAGGCACCAAATAAACCCTATTTAGGCAAGAAGCTTCATAGACCATTTTCCAGTACTCCTATAAGCATAATAAGAAGATGAGACTTATCAACACTCTGAGCTATGAGGGACATGGAGGACGACTTCACCCTTGTGACAACTCCGTGAGGTACATGGGGGACGCTCCTTCAAAAAAAAATTGTTCAACAACAACATAACACACTAAAATGTCTCAATATCCTTGTCACGTTGCAGAACCTACTGGCAGGGGGACCCTATCCTAGCCCCACTCAGAACTTGTTACCTGTATAAAAATACAGCTACCTACTATCACTCTTCATTTATTATCAGTAATGTTGTATCCTTGCTTATGCTAATTTTAACAAACTATAACTAAAATTTGTGGGAAACTAACACTGTACATCCTATTCATATAATTTCTACTGGCATTGAACTGAATGCCAATTTGAGTAGAACAGAAGCATCAAGCGTTCTCTCCAGGTGTCACAGGACAGTCATTTATTTGAACTTTTATGCATAGGTTATAGGTAGTTCATTGCTATGTATAGGATGTGACTGCTCTTTGTAAAGATTGTTGCTGTGCACCTTATATTCATTATTAATCTTTGATCTATCAGAAACAAGCCCACAGGAGTTTGGTTTCTTGTAAAGTATTAAAACACTTATTGTCTCAATTTGCTAGACCAACTTGGTCTTAAGAAGCTCCAGGCTGTGCTGCCCAGGCTGGACCTTCAGTAGAGTCTACAATCTCATGTGAGGCACGGTGCAAGGCATGTCAATAGTTACTAACCTGCGATGAAATATATGTATATTTTTCAAACTAATCTCTTATAGTGTTCTCATTGTCTGTACTATCTAGTTGCAGCAGTCTCTTCATGTGCCTGCTCTTTTTGTTGTGTTTTATCTGTGGTTCTTTGCCCACAGTCGCATGAACTCTGAACACAATCATCCTGTCAAGGGACTACACTGGACAAGTCTCCAGAGCTTCTTCAACTTCATATAAAGAAAAAAAGGGAAAGGCTAGACATTTATAGGTAGTTTATTGCTATGTATAGGATGTGACTGCTCTTTGTAAAGATTGTTGCTGTGCACCTTATATTCATTATTAATCTTTGATCTATCAGAAACAAGGCCACAGGAGTTTGGTTTCTTGTAAAGTATTAAAACACTTATTGTCTCAATTTGCTAGACCAACTTGGTCAGAAGAAGCTACAGGCTGTGCTGCCCAGGCTGGACCTTCAGTAGAGTCTATAATCTCATGTGAGGCACGGTGCAAGGCATGTCAATAGTTACTAACCTGCAATGAAATATATGTATATTTTTCAAACTAATCTCTTACAGTGTTCTCATTGTCTGTACTATCTAGTAGCAGCAGTCGCTTAATGTGCCTGCTCTTTCTGTTGTGTTTTATCTGTGGTTCTTTGCCCACAGTCGCATGAACTCTGAACACAATCATCCTGTCAAGGGACTACACTGGACAAGTCTCCAGAGCTTCTTCAACTTCATATAAAGAAAAAAAGGGAAAGGCTAGACAGCCCGCATTGACTTACTTGTGACATTGACTTACCTGTCATTCAGCCTGACGAGCTAAGATAACCAGAAACTTGGCCTTTTTGCACAGGCCAGGCTACCCCACAAGGTAGATGTAGCAGAGATTGAGGGCAGACTCATTACTCTGTAGTCTTCCGTTGAATGCACTTCAAATTAAAAATTTCTCCAAGTCTGTTATATTTCTTCAAGTCTGTTGTTTCCAGCTCCTGCTATGAATAGCACTAATAAAAGATGATGCATTTATATGTCATTACTGCATCCAATTTTTTGTAAGCATAACTGACATGCATGAATTTTTAAAATTGGCAGCATCTATAGGGCAAAAAATGGCAGCATAAATTTGCCCTAAATTGGCGGCATCTTGGTCCACTTTCCAGTCAAACTTTTCTAATGCACTTCTTTGCTATCATGATATACAATTATACACTCTCATACTTCCAATATTTTATAATTACTATTAATTGAAAGAATTAACATATGCTTAATTCAACTTTTCATAGAAGAATTTTTCATCTTTATAAGGTATTTTAACTCATTTAGTGTGAAAAGTTAGTTGCAACAGTTCAAAAATTCAAAAGGTTTTGAAGAACTCCTCATAAGAAACATGAGTATGTCAATGTCTGGAGATGGAGAAATATTACGGCGGGTGTGGGAGGGCCGGGTGGCCACATGCATCAAGCTTGCCGAGGAAGATCTCAGCTCGTATGGTGAACCTGACCCGCACTACCTCATGCTTCCTCGCGTCTCTTACTTCCCACTAGTTCTGGAAAAAGTAAGTGCTCAAACTATTAAATAGAAACCAATAAATTTTTTTTAGAAAATGTATTTAAACCATTCAGCTTCAGCAAGAACTTGGATGTTCTGTGTTCTGTAAACTTTATTCTTGAAACATTTTTCTTAATTATTACTTCTTATTACTAATTATTTGCCCATTTGAAGTGTTACTGATGAATTGTTCTGTGCAACTTTTTCCTACAGGTACGAAAGTCATTTCAAAGGCATGTGTCTCCTGAATTTCGAGATCATGAGATTTGGCTTGAGTTTGATGGGATTCCCTTGAAAATGTAAGTGACTGTGAGTCAGTGATCCAATTTTTTGGCATATAAAAAATATACTGTAAAAAGAGGCTCATTTGAGTGTTTTAATCCATTTTTGAGCAGGCAGACTGGGATTTCTTGACTTGTTTTGTACAATATTTCTGTTTAATTATGATAATAGAAACAAAACAAAACCGTGCTTGGTATGACATGTCTACCTTGCCTGGCAGGCAGTACCCCATAGGCGTTCTTTGTGATGTACTCAACACTGAAGGTCAAGCCCCATGGATGTTACGTCTCCACTTCTCCAGCCCTCCTGCTTCTCTAATTAGCTTGCCTTGTGGGTAAGTCTTATCTTATTATTGCTGATCCTGTGCATAGCTCGGGCCATACTAACAAAACTTGCTCAAGTAATTGTAGTGACTAAAGTGCTCCATGCAGCCAAGTACACTTAGCAGCTGGTGTTTAGTCATTGGTTGGTGTTTGGCTCGAAAAACCATCAATAATTATATAATAGGCTGATGAGAGTTACAAACTCATAAATATTTTTGATATTTTAGCCCCAGGTTAGATCTGAACCTACTTTGTCTCTGGCAATCACATGATAATTTTATTCTTGGAAAGGAGAATAAAGCTACAGAAAGTGTTTGCTATACCAAATAATATTTGGTGTCTCAAGTATAATGGCATTGATGGATTTTGTGAAAGATTAGGAATTAGCAGAATAATAGCTTAGTTTTTCTTTGTTTTCATGAGCTCTGTTTTATTGTGTTTTTGTTTCAAAANAGCAGCTCTGGCAGGGTCTTGTCAATGGTGAGAACGGATCTTTCTGTTTTTATCATCCCAATCAAGTAATGCTTTTTACTTTTTAATGACATTATCTCTTTTTTATCACTTGCAAGCATCATCATATATTTTCTATCATCACACTTCAAAACACCATCATTGTGAAAGTGCTTTTTGTATACTTGATCACAGTGAAAGAACCATTTTCATATTTACCCATCACAGTTAAAAAGTGTTTACTTGTTTACCACTGCAGTGAAAAATGTATACTTTTTAACTCAAAGTGAACGTGTTGTTCTTTGCCGAGGCTGTATGCTGTTGTGAGGACTGCTTGCTCTGTGGACATCAGGGGAGACTTTCCATGGCCTGTGGTAGTGATTTTAATTTCTTTCTTATCCACATGACATTGTTTCATTTTACCCACATTGTTGTGTCANAGACACTAGGAGACTGCCTCCTGCCAGGTAACACACGCCCCCTACTCCTGCAACACCTGCTGCAGGAGACACTAGGAGACTGCCTCCTGCCAGGTAACACACGCCCCCTACTCCTGCAACACCTGCTGCAGGAGACACTAGGAGACTGCCTCCTGCCAGGTAACACACGCCCCCTACTCCTGCAACACCTGCTGCAGGAGACACTAGGAGACTGCCTCCTGCCAGGTAACACACGCCCCCTACTCCTGCAACACCTGCTGCAGGAGACACTAGGAGACTGCCTCCTGCCAGGTAACACACGCCCCCTACTCCTGCAACACCTGCTGCAGGAGACACTAGGAGACTGCCTCCTGCCAGGTAACACACGCCCCCTACTCCTGCAACACCTGCTGCAGGAGACACTAGGAGACTGCCTCCTGCCAGGTAACACACGCCCCCTACTCCTGCAACACCTGCTGCAGGAGACACTAGGAGACTGCCTCCTGCCAGGTAACACACGCCCCCTACTCCTGCAACACCTGCTGCAGGAGACACTAGGAGACTGCCTCCTGCCAGGTAACACACGCCCCCTACTCCTGCAACACCTGCTGCAGGAGACACTAGGAGACTGCCTCCTGCCAGGTAACACACGCCCCCTACTCCTGCAACACCTGCTGCAGGAGACACTAGGAGACTGCCTCCTGCCAGGTAACACACGCCCCCTACTCCTGCAGCATCCCCAGCCGTGTGACGTTGACGTAACTTTGAATAAACTTATAAAATAAACTTTGTTTAAAAAAATTAAATCTTTATCAATATTGTTCCGACATTATTCACCAAGAGGGAAACATCCATAAATTCCCACTAATGACTATATTGCTTAGCTCTGCTCGGCTTTGAAATATAGCCCCTTCATTTATTTACCTTGATATAAAATATATTAAAGGAAGTCTTTGCCCCTCACACTATCTGAATATTTTAATAATTTTACTGGCTCTCCATTGTCAATTAATTTTGTTATATCCGCTCTATTTTTTTGTGCTATAGGTACACATATTTCTTTGTGTGCCAGTGTGTGCTGTTGTTGCACTCACCAGTTTTTGTGCTATAGGTACACATATTTCTTTGTGTGCCAGTGTGTACTGTTGTTGCACTCACCAGAGTTTTTATAAGAACCTGGTTTTGTGTTGACGAAGATCAAGTTTTAGTTTTTATTTGTAGAAGAAATGTGATTATTCAAAGCATCATCGAAATTATTTTTATTATCATAGGTATCATCATTATGCTACTATCAATAGTGTATTTCTCTTCTATTTAATTTATTTTCTGTATTTCTATATTTCTATTTTTCTAATAGTCTATTTCTCTTCTGAAAGTGAACAAAACGACCTTCATCATTTATGTGTTGGCCAAAGTTGAAAAATGAGTAAAGCATATTTCCACGGTCACCTTCCTGTAAAATATTAATTCTGTACATATACATGAGTGAGTATTTGGGCATATTCAACAAACGAAGATCAAGAGTAAGGAGGTATGAAATATCTTATCTTTAATCTGTATTCAATGGAAGAAAATAATTAGCAATTTTTGTTCTAATTTTCACGCCTGGAACGCCATTTTTTGATACGAAGATTTACGAGTTGCTTGCTTTCGGCTCTTTTCATGTCAGTTATGCAATGGAAAAACTGCTTGTAAATTGTATATTTTTACGTTTTACAGGCCATGTCTACTGCATGGAATTCAATTATTTTGTTGGCCACGTGTCTACTACGTGGATTTATCCCAGAAAAGATTCGCGACGAGTCAGACAACTACATGTAGCGGTTTCAGCGTTTATTAGGCCGTTCTTTAACATCGCAGAACATTCACAGCTGGTTGCGGTTACGAACGCGTAACTCACTGCTCCAATTCTGTTTTGCTCAACAGCCTGGCGGTTAAGCAAAGAACTGACCAGAAACTGGCGCACAGAGCTGGGATCGGACCAGCACCTCTCTGGTCTAATCCTGGTACTCACCGAACTGTAGCCACAGGGCCACACTCACAGTACTGGGAATGACCAATGTGAGCGCTACAACGGGATCATTTGAAAGGCGATAGCTCTGAAACTAGAGGCTCTCAAACTAGCTGTTGACTATTGGGAAATGGTATTGCTGGACGCATTACACTCAGTGAGGTCTCTGCTATCTACCGCTACGATTTCAACTTCGCGCGAGCGTTTTTTTTTAATTTCCAAAGACGGTCAACTCACGGACGTTCCCTCTTATCCTGGCTGATGACACGCGGACCGGTCCTGCTCCGCCGCTACGTTCGCATAAACCAAGCCACTTGTTAGTAAGTAAACTTGATAGACTGCAATCCCACCTTCGCACATGTGGAATACCGAGACGGGCGAGAGTCAACTGTATCGGTACAAGATCCAGCTCCATGTCCTCAAAAATCACCACTCGAGAAACAATCTTCGATCATTCGATGGAGAACGGAAATTACCGTGAGCAGCTTGAGATGACTTGACATTGTCAGGATCTCACTCCCAGTCCTACTGAGTCATCCCCGCAACCTGCACCACCGCAGGATGTTGCACACCCATTACCCGTGTCTTCGGAGCCTTGCAGCGAGAAGAGAAGCCAGCGTCTTCTTTAATCCCAAAGTCAACTCGTACACGAAGACCTCCTGAGCGTTATGGTTATGAATAGACGAAGAAGCGAATAAATAAATACTCTTCTTGTAATGATGGTCACTTCTATGTTGCGTTATATTAGTTTGTAACTTGTGACTGATAGTTTGTTTTTAGCAAAAAAATTCGGAATGGGAGAATGTCGTAATAAAGAACAACTAGTTTTACTACGTCACATCAAACGTAATGTGGTGAGAAACCGACGTTTGTTTGCAGTCTCTATGTTGTATCCAGTATGAACGGATATCTCTTTCCTGTTGTATAATGCACATGTACTTTCTAAACCTTAGTCTCTATTAAATGCTGCTTTTGTTATTTAATGTTATATTGTTCTGTGTTGTGTTGATAAGTATCTTATATCGGTTATTATTCTTCCAGGTAACTAGGCATTTGTTTAATAAAGCTTGGATTACCCAAGTTTATTGCCTCCCTGATTCCTCATCACTCATCATAGATTCATAACTGTTCTGTCTGACAAAATTTATTTAGCAGTCAAGGTATCGAACTACAACAAACTCGTCTCCAAAACAGAAATAATAATGTACATGACAATGGAAATAAATTTTTAGATAATTTCTTGTATTTCGCTACGTTTATGCATTCAAATTTCCTATGACCAATGCAAGTACAAGATTGGAAATTCCCTACTTCAGCGATTTATTTTTCCCTTGAACATCTACGAGATAGCCACGATTTCTCGGGTTATAAAACTTTACGCCTCCATAATATGAAGCGACAAGCCCAGAGAGTAATGGTTGTCTACCACTGAACGTTACATCGAATCATCACTTCATACTCTGATTTTAGCTCAAACTGTAACTTGCGGACAACGGACTGCGACCAACCAGCCCAGGTCGCCAGTGGAACTGCATGCATCCTGATGTGCACCACCAGACGGTCACTGTTCGCTCACAACATTGGAGTTAGGTTTCAGAAAGCATAGTTCTGTTCCAAAATCTATCGTCCTTCGACGAGCGACTTCCGCAGCTTCGTTAAATTACGTAACTTTTAATTCACAGCATCTGGGGTTAGGTTCCAGATAGCATAGTTCTGTTCCAAAATTTATCGTCGTACGACACGTGGCCGTTCGACCGTAGGCTGATTCGACCCACGGGACAGATACGAACGGCTCCGGCGCGCTCCGTCCGGGTGGTGTAAATTTTTTTCGCGTATTGGCAGACGACGCTGGGCCATACGACGTCAGGCTGTTTTCCTGTGGGCTGATTAGTCTAATTCAATGTATATGATCTGTCTGGTGGCGTGCGGCTGATAATATTACAGTCAAGAAGTGGTGTAGGCTATGTTCTTCAGGGAAGGGATCATGATAGTCCATCCGAAGTACGGCAGTGGTGGTCTCCGACAGGCGTCCCGGCGTTAACACCGGTGACGTACGGATGGGACCAACCGAATCTACTGTTCGTTAATGTTCAACTTCACATTTCCGGTCTGATAGCTACCTAGGATTACTGATGTACTTCTCAAGAGTTCGCTTGTTCGCCCGTGCATTTTATTTTTAGTACGCTTTTACTAATGGAACTTTTGACGACTGTTAATTTAGTTACCATGCTTTTTCGCCATCTCGTTGGGGTAGCTTATTTGTGTTGCCTGCTCGCCCGCAACACTTTGTTGTGTTGATATGCATCTTATATAGGTTTTATTCTTCTAAACTAGGCCTTTGTTGAATAAAGCTTGAATTACCCAAGTTCATTGCCTCCCTGATTCCTAAACACTCATCGTAGCTTTGGAACAGTTCTGAAAAAAATTCTTAGCAGTCTAGGCATCGAACTATAACCTAAACTCCAAAACAAAAAAATAATAATGTACACGAGTACGTAATGATAATGAAAATAAATTTGAAATACTTTCTTACATTTCTTAAGTTCAATCGTTCATATTTACAATGACCAATGCACGTACAAGATTAGAATTTCCCTCCTTCAGCGGTTTATATTTCCTATGAACATCTACGCAATAGTCATGATTTCTCGGGTTGTAAATGAGCACACTGGACGCGAAATCACGCTTCAACTCTAAAAGCTTGTCTTGCGTCGCAATTTTTCACATTTTACTCACGTGATGTTATTGTAACAGTTAAATGGTGTAAACGTTGCCAAATATCTACAAATTCTTTTTAGAGCCAGGCAGTTACACAAATAATAGTTAATCACGCTCAAAATTCCAGCATGAAAACTTCTGTAGCAAAATTATTCAAGCTTTGTGCACAGATTTTTATTAACGACGCTGAGTGGTTGAGTATAGCAAAAACTTTCTCTCGAGTTCTCACGTAATATGGTTACACAGTCCTGTCACCTGTGAGCCAATCTAACGCAACATCTCGATACGTTGTTGTGGTGGTTCCCCGGTCTCATTTTTATAAGAGAACCCCCTCGCGCAAGCACGACACCGCCGACAGGGGGTCGCTCCAGAGCTGTAGCCGAGGTTATGTGGTAGTGTTGTCTGAGGTCCTGACAGAGCGGACATTCCAGAAGAATGTGAGTGATTGTGTGGGGAGCTCTCTGGCAGGAGTCTGTGTCTGCTTGGCCTATTCTGTTTGCGTATGTTTGTAGTGAATGGTGGTGGCCGCAGCGCAGCCTAGCTAGATGTACTCTCTCCAGTCTAGAGAGCTGGGTTTCTGTGCTGCTTATGTCAGGTGGTGGGTGTCCAAGGACTTTGTTGTTGCCGGCCAGCTCCAGCGTTCTAAGTGTCATAATTGTGTGTAAATGTTTTTTTTTGTGCTGGTGTTGCCCTGGGGTGGGGGTACTGTGTTTAGTTTGTTGGTGTAGTATCTGTGTGGGGTCTGCACTATTTGTCTGTTTGTAGGTGGGTGTTCGCGTAGGTAGTGGCATGGGTGTTCTGTGTTGTTTATGGCTGCGGCTAAGAACTGTGTTCCTCTAATGTCGGGGTGTGCTTTTATGGGAAGTACTTTTTTGTTTCTGCATGAAGGTGATCGATGGGGATGCATTGTGTGCAGCCTGTGACTATCCTAAGTGCTTTGTTTTGTAGTGTTTGGAGTTTCTGTATGTTGGTGTTGGATAGTGCAGGCGCCCAGGCGGGGCTGGCATAAGCCATGAACTGTTTGAATGTGGATGCTAGTGTTTATTTGTTTTTGCCGAATTTGGTACCGCCTAGGGCCCGAAGTGAGTTGAGTCTGATGTTTGCGTTGTTCCTTATGTTGTTGATGTCAGGACCGAATGTCATGGAGATGTTGAGTGACCCCTAATATTTTCGTTTCGTGTGTGTGCGGGATCAGGGTGTTGTTTAATGTGATGTTTGGTCTGTTTTGGTGCTCCTTTGTGTGACTGGTCATTAATGTGTTTGTGGATTTACTAGGAGCAACATTGAGTCTGTTCAGTGTAAGCCATTGGGATAAAGTGTTGAGATATGTTTGTGCTGGTTGAGTACATATGTCTGCGGATGGGTGAGTGGATGTTATTGTGACGTCGTCTGCGTAGGAGGCAATGTGGATGTTTGGAGGTGGTTCAGGTATGTCGTGCATGTATAGATTAAAGAGTGAGGGTGATGGGACGGAGCCCTGTGGGACTCCATTGGGTATCAGTGATGTGTGTGATGACTTGACTGAGTAGTGTACGTATGCTTGTCTGCCTGATAGGTAATTAGCAAGCCAGCGTTTGCTGTTGTTGTGTAGTTTGGTGTTGTAAATTTCATTTGTGAGGGGGAGGCGGGGGATGGCATCAAAGGCATTACTGATGTCTATTGTAAGCAGTAGTGTTCTGTGAGTGGATTTTCGGGAGTTGATGCCATCGTTTATGCCTTGTGTGAGATTTGTGAGTAGTGTTGTGGTCGAGTGGTGAGGTCTGAATCCGTGTTGTGTTGGAGAAAGTGTAATGTGCGGAGTGGCTGTGTTCAGTATGAGGAGCTCTATGACTTTTGAAGGTGTATAGAGGAGTGTGATTGGTCTGTATGAGGCGGCCTCAGTGGGTGGTTTATTGGGTTTGAGGAGTGTGATTATTTTGCCAATTTTCCAGATGTATGGTATTTTGGAGTGTGAGTAGAAGTTGGCAATGTTTGTAAATGTCGTGATTCCGTGCGGGTCAAGGTGTTTAAGGTGTATTTTTGTAATCTTGTCGGGCCCAGCAGCGGAAGAGTTTTTAATTTGTTGTATGACCCTTTTGGTGTCGTTTGTAGTGGCTAGGGTAGCTGTTGGCTCTAGTCGAAATTGTTGTTTGCGTCTGATGCGTCTGTCTTCTTTGTGTTTGGATAACCTACTTATGTTTGCGTAGTGTTGTATTAGTATGTTTGCTTGTGCTTGTCTGGTGGGGATGTTGTCTGTGTTGGTGGTGATTGCTGCGTGGGTGTGTTCTTGTTTGCTGTTTGAGTTGTGTAAGCTGCGTATAGTTCTGTAAAGCTGTGTGATGTTGGATTTGTGGTCCAGTGTATCCAGGAACTCGAGCCAGGCCCGTTGCTGTTGCTCTGTAATTTTGTTCTGAATTTGTGCGTTTAGTTCCTGGATTTCTCGAGTAGTGTTC